GGCACAGGGGTGATACTTACCAGAATAACTCGGTTGCCAAATCATCATTTTCTGTGGGTGGTAAAGGGCTTCCAGTCAATGATCCCATATGGAATTTTGGTAGGGAGAAACGCCCATTTTCAAAGAGTGAAAAACCTTATGTAGAGGACCCTTTCATGAAGGACATTGGAACTTCTGGTTTTGATGGACGGGATCCCTTCTCTGGCACCCTTGTCAGTTTGGTTAAGAAGAAGAAGGATGTGCTTAAGCAGACTGATTTCCACGATCCTGTTCGGGAATCTTTTGAGGCTGAACTTGAGAGAGTTCAAAAGATGCAGGAACTGGAACGGCAGCTGGTACTTGAAAAGCAGGAAAGGGCTATGGAGCTAGCTCGGAGAGAAGAAGAGGAGAGAATGAGGCTAGCTAGGGAACAAGAAGAAAGGCAGAGAAGGTTGGAAGAAGAAGCTAAAGAAGCTGAATGGAGAGCTGAACAAGAGCGACTGGAAGCCATCCGAAGGGCAGAAGAACATAGGATAGCTAGAGAGGAGGAGAAACAGAGAATCTTTATGGAGGAGGAGAGGAGGAAACATAGTGCAAGGAAGAAGCTTTTAGAATTGGAAGAAAAGATTGCGAAGAGGCAAGCTGAAGCAACGAAGAGTGGTAATGACAATTCTTCTGGTGTTACAGATGAGATAATGACAGGGATGGTAACAGAAAAAGATGTTTCCAGGGTGGCAGATGTTGCTGATTGGGAAGAAAGTGAAAGGATGGTGGAGAGCATCACAGCTTCAGTATCTTCTGATTCCTCAGCAATGAATAGACCATATGAGATGGATTCTAGGCCGCACTTTTCTAGAGATGGCTCTTCAGCTTTTTCAGACACAGGAAAACATGTGAATTCATGGAAGAGAGATGCATTTGACAATGTGAACATTAGAGCATTTGTTCCACAAGACCAGGAGAATGGTCAACCCAGTCCCAGGCAAGATGCATCTGTTGGAGGGAGAGCATTTTCTAGGAAAGAGTTCTATGGAGGACCTGGATTAATACCCTCTAGGCCTTATCTTAAAGGAGGGATTCCTGATCCTCAAGTTGATGATTTTAGTCAACAATTTAGAAGTCAAAGGTGGAATATTTCTGGGGATGGAGATTATTTTAGTAGAAACTCAGAGATTGAATCTGAGTTCCAAGAGAACTTTGCAGAGAGATTTGCTGATAGTGCATGGGGGCATGCTCAGACTAGGGGCAGTCCAGGTCCTCAATACCATGATAGAATGTATCAAAATCACGAGCCAGATGGTCTCTATTCATTTGGGAGGTCACGATATCCCATGCGGCAACCTCGTGTTTTACCCCCTCCACCAATAGCTTCATTGCACAGAAACCCTTATAGAGGTGAGAATGAATGCCCTGGTCCCTCAACCTTTCCAGAGAGTGAGATGCAGTCCAATCACGGAGCTAGAAATGATTCTACCATGCAGGCAAGGTATGATAGCAGTTATCAAGAGAATCTTGGACGAGCTGAAATAATTGCCCAGCAGGAGAATTCTGAGACTGAGGTGCAGAAACTGAATACAAACACAACAAGGTGTGACTCACAGTCTTCACTCTGTGTTTCAAGCCCCCCTGATTCTCCAGTTCATCTCTCTAATGATGATTTGGATGAATCTGGAGATTCTCCAGTGTTATCAGCTGGTGAAGGAAAAGATGTTGCCTTGTTGGGTCAAGAGAATGAATCTTTAGCCTTGCCTGCTGAAGCCAATAAAGAGAATGTGATGAGTGGCTCAAGTATTGTCTCTAACGGTGAGGATGAGGAGTGGGCTGTTGAGAATGATGAGCAGTTGCAGGTATATATTCCAAAAATAAACTGGTATTGTTTGAGATTTGCTTTGGAAGCTTGTCTTTCCTTGATAAATTTGCTAGAGTTTGCTGCCATAGTGATTGTCTTTTGGGTCTAAGGGTATTTTTGTTTATTCTATACATGTGTAATATTGTTTTGCGAGAAACCTTGTTCTTTCACAATGATAGGTTTTCTTACATAAAATTGGTGCCTAAAAGGAAGTTAATGTGATTGTTGTGGTTGAGTTGGATGCACTGCAAATGTTGTTACATGGTTCTGGTTATTTCATAAATCATTTTTGTGCTAAGTGGTATGGTATATGAAATTAAGATTCTTTCTAGGAAGAGAGAGAAGTGGGGGGTGGGGTGCTGCTTAGATGTAAGGATACATTGATATGATATTTACAAAATGGGCATCTTTAGCATAGCATCTTCCTAATCACAAGTCTCCACATTCACTTAGCATATAATGCTTGATGTTTATTGTGTTTTGGTTCTGCTTTCTTTTGCAAACTCACCTCATTGCAGCTCGTTTAATGTTGATGATTAAATCTCCAACTTGTTGGATATTCATCTGTGCTTAAAATCTTCTTGCCTTGAATTTTTAATTTATGGATTACTGAACCTTGGAGAGACTGGTGTTTGAAATGCTGTTATCCCAAGTTCATGAAATTGCCACCGTTTTGTTTGGCTTTTGATCTTGCTGCTTGCAGTCCATCATCTTCCGTGTTTTTCCTATCTGGTTTTAGGAACAGCCCTAAGCTCTCTTGTATTTCCCCATCGTAGATGACTTTTTCCATTTGAATATCTTGATAACTGATTTGTTCCTTTTATTTGCTCACCTTTGATTCATCCACAAAAAAATAAAATAAAATGATGATACACTTGCAGGAGCAAGAAGAATATGATGAGGATGAAGATGGCTATGAGGAAGAAGATGAAGTGCATGATGGAGAAGATGAAAATATTAACCTGACTCAAGATTTTGAAGACATGCATTTAGATGAGAAAGATGCTCCTGATATGATGGAAAACTTGGTCTTAGGCTTCAATGAGGGTGTTGAGGTTGGAATGCCTAATGATGATTTTGAAAGAAGTTCAACGAATGAAGAAACCAAATTTGTGACACCAAAACCTTCAGAAGAGCAGGGATCTTTTGATGCAATGTTCAGTGATGGGCAAACCCTTCAACATGTGGATGGTTCTACTCAAGTGAATCTCGATAATTCTACAAGAATCTTCCAGGAAACAGAGAAGGCAATTCAGTCCAAAAATGCTTCTCAAACTTCAGCATTGCCCAAGCACATGTATCATTCTGATGCTTCTGGCTTGTCCATTCAGCCTCAAATCCAATTGTCATCTGATCAAACTGTCATGTGTACCATTCCTTCTGCTAATAATCAGCCAGAGGTACCTGTTAAGCTTCAGTTTGGGCTATTTTCTGGTCCTTCTCTGATACCTTCACCAGTTCCAGCCATACAGATTGGTTCTATACAGATGCCACTTCATCTCCATCCCCCAGTTGGATCATCCCTCACTCATATCCACCCATCACAGCCTCCACTCTTTCAGTTTGGTCAGCTGAGGTATACATCTCCCATTCCACAGGGGGTTTTACCTTTGAATCCTCAATCGATGTCCTTGGTTCGACCTGATATTCCAGGTAATTTTTCTTTCAATCATAGTGTTGGAGTTGCTGTACCTATTAAACCTGGTCAAGACATTGTGAAAGGTGATGTTTCATCAGTTTCAATGGATAACCAACGAGGCCTTCTTTCACAACACTTGGATCTATCTCATCTGGCTGTGAAAGAGGGAAATTCATTGCCACTGAGAGAAAGAGCTGATAGCACTATAAAAATACACAAGGGCAAAGGAGATTGTTTGCACAGTGGCGATATCAATTCGAGGCCTGAATCAGGTTTTCAAGCAGAAAATTCATTTGTGAAGAATTTCAAAACTGTACCCGCTCGAGAATTGGAATACCGGTCTCAAACTGAGGAAGTGTCATCTCTATCTGTTACAAAAGAAAAAGGTTTAGGAGTTTCAAAGGGTCCAGGCCTAATGTCAAGTGGGAGAGGGAGACGGTATGCGTTCCCGGCGAAACATTCTGGCCCAAGATCATCATTTCAAGCTTCAGATATTTCTCGCTCAGATTCTAGTGGATTTCAGGGGAAACCTCGACGTTTGCGAACTGAATTTCGAGTTCGTGAAAATTCAGAGAAGAAGCAATCTGCTGGATCAGAGGTAGATGATAAGTCTAATAACAGTCATGCACATGCTGGTGCTAGAAGTGGGTCTAGGAGGGTGGTTGTTGCAAATAGACAACCAAAACAGATATCTGAATCAGAGGGATCTAGTTCAAGGCCTGTAAGTTTGCAGGAAATAGGTTCTCGAAGCAGGGCTGAAAAGGTAGCTGGAAAAGAATCTGTGAGAAAGATCCAGAACATCTCTCACTCCAGAGAGGACTTGGATGCTCCTTTGCAAAGTGGAATCGTGCGTGTTTTTGAGCAACCTGGCATAGAAGCCCCTAGCGGTGATGATGACTTCATTGAGGTGAGGTCAAAGAGGCAAATGCTGAATGATCGTCGTGAACAGAGAGAGAAAGAGATCAAGGCGAAGTGTCGGGTTCCAAAGGTTCCTTTGTTGTTTTACTTTGAATTAGCTTTTGTTGCATCAAAAAACATGTTGCTTAATTACTTTAATTTGTTGCTATTAGATGCCACGAAAACCTCGATCTTATTCGCAAAGTGCTTCTGTGTCTTCCATCTCGAATAAAAATCACACACCAGTTGGTGGAGAGGCATCAAACAGCATTCGTTCTGATTTTGAGGCACCTGAGGGGCATGGCTTGGCAAGCATTGAAGTATCAGCTGGATTCAATACACCTATAGTGTCTCAACCATTGCCTCCAATTGGAACTCCTGCTGTGAAAACTGAAACTCTGGCTGTCAAGTATGTACACTTTCAGAATTTTATATATCCAAATATATATGGAAAGACTTGTAAGTCTCATATGTTCTTCTGCAGGTCCTTCAATGCAAGTTCCTTGACCGGTGTGTCAGGTAGTGGAAAGAACCATGCCTCGGGCTTAATTTTTGATAACAAGAATAATGTTCTAGAAACTGTCCAAACTTCTTTGGGCTCCTGGGGTAGTTCACGGATTAACCATCAGGTATGGTAATTAGTTATTACCATCATTTTTCCAATTATTGCTGTTAAAGTGCCATGATAGTTTAATTTTCTCTTAGGGTTCTTCTGTTCTATCATTTTGCATGAAAATGATTGTTATGATCTCACTAAAAAAACATGATGGAAAATTTGCTTGTTAGTTGAAGTTCTTCAATTTAGTGGCTATTTCTTTTTATGATTTTATTCATCGATATTGGGTCTTGGGTCATTTTAATTGCTTTCTAAGTTTGGTGCAGTGTTTCTCTGGAGTGCACTGCAAAAAATTACCCTTGGTTCAGTCAAGATCTGGCTTAATGATTTTAGCATCTCTGTCCAGTCCTACGACACTTGTCTTCAAGCCCTCAGAACCAATGCTGCTTTTTTTCTTTTTCCAAAGAAGATGGAAAGGAGGTGAAATAGTAGAAGGAAAGGAAGGGGAAGGGAGTGAAAGGATGAGAATAGAATTTCTGTTTAATTTCTTTTGCGTCTTTGTGTTGAAAAAAGGGGACAGGCACTTGAGAGGAAAATATATAAATTCTGCGATAGGAGGTATCATATATGTAGATAGATCCTGTGCTTAATGTGCTTTAAATTTTAAAATGCTTACAATTAATGACATGTTTAGACGATTTGCCAGACCAATTTCTGTTGACCAGCAAATAGATCCAGTCTGTAATGTTGATCATGCAAATTAACTGCAGGAAAAAAAAAAAAAAACAAGGCCTTTAGAATAAGCAAGCTGATAAATTTTGTTTTAGTGGGCTTTGTGTTACAGTTTCAACTTTCAAGATCCATGATCTAGTTTCCTTTGGAAATAATTATTCTGATATCTCTTCATATTTTTGCAATAATATCATTGTTTTTAATCATCCATGACCATTTGGTAAATCTGCAATCAACATCAATTTGGCATCTGATTAAATGTATCTGCTAGGTTATGGCACTTACACAGACTCAACTTGATGAGGCTATGAAGCCTGTGCAATTTGATTCACATTCATCTGTTGGTGATCCAACTAACTCAGTCAGTGAACCCAGCTTGCCATCATCATCCCTTCTGAGCAAGGACAAGTCATTTTCTTCTGTTGGTAGCCCAATCAATTCATTACTTGCTGGGGAGAAAATTCAATTTGGTGGGCATTGACTTTCTTGTGAACTTGTGTTTGATCTAAAGAATTACTATTGGCCTTATTTTGAAATTTGTGATGTTCCCTTATATTCAGGTGCTGTGACATCTCCGATTCTTCCTTCTCCTTCTAATAGACGGGCTGTTTCCCATGGGATTGGCCCTCCAGGTCTATGTCAATCGGACATTCATATTTCTCATAATCTCTCTGCAGCCAAAAAAGATTGCTCTCTTTTCTTTGAAAAAGAGAAACACTCCAATGAATCTTGTGCTCATTTGGAAGATTGTGAAGCTGAAGTTGAAGCCGAAGCCGAAGCAGCTGCTTCAGCTGTTGCTGTTGCAGCTATTAGTAGTGATGAGATTGGTGGTAATGTAGTGGGTGCAGGCCCCGCCTCTGGTTCAGACTCAAAAAATTTTGGAGGTGCAGATCTTAATAGCATATCAGCGGGTACTATTTTTTTTTTGCTGCAATATTTGTTGGGAGCCTCACATTTCTTTTCCTTTTATTATCTTTAAGCTTTTTTTGTTAATAATTTGTAGGTGCTTCTGCTGATCAGCAATTAGCAAGTCAATCAAGAGTTGAAGAGTCCCTTAGTGTGGCTCTGCCGGCTGACCTTTCAGTGGAGACTCCAGTTACCTTATGGCCACCTTTGCCAATTCCACAGAATTCTGGAAGCCATATGCTTTCACAAGTCCCTGGAGCTCCATCTTCTCATTTTCCATTCTTTGACATGAATCCCATGTTGGGAGGGCCGATCTTTGCTTTTGGGCCACATGATGAATCAACACCTACTCAGTCACAGTCCCAGAAAAGTAATGCATCAGTTACAGGTCCGCTGGGTGCCTGGCAACAGCATTCTGCTGTAGATTCATTCTATGGTCCTCCAGCTGGTTTCACAGGCCCTTTCATCAGCTCACCTGGGAGCATCCCGGGGGTTCAAGGTCCACCTCACATGGTTGTCTACAATCATTTTGCACCAGTGGGACAGTTTGGACAAGTTGGCTTGAGTTATATGGGCACCACATATATCCCATCTGGAAAACAACCTGATTGGAAGCATAACCCTGCATCTTCTGCCATGAGTGTTGGTGAAGGGGACATGAATATGGTGTCATCACAGCGCAATCCCACCAATATGCCTGCTATCCAGCATCTTGCCCCTGGTTCTCCGCTTTTGTCAATGGCCTCGCCTGTGGCCATGTTTGATGTTTCTCCTTTTCAGGTACACATTTGATCTATGGTTTGGAAGCTGAGAACTTTTTGCTTGCCAAAATGATGCTTAATTCCCATTCTTTTCCCTCTACAAGTGTTTGCCTTTTTTTTTTTTGCCAAAAATTGTTTAATGAATTGGAAGCTTTTCTGTCATGTGTTTTAGCAGATGTTAAAATTGGTTGACATCAATTGTTTGGAGGTTGACTAATGATTTCTTTCCTATTGCTTAGCCTGTGATGATGCTATTGTATTGAAGAATGGTGTACCATGACCTAACATTTGGATTAAATTGTTTTGCCCAGTCTTCTGACATTTCAGTCCAAGCTAACTGGCCTCATATGTCTGCATCCCCTCTTCAATCACTTCCTGTGTCAAAGCCATTGCAACAGGCAGAGGGTGTTCCTGCACCATCTCATTTTAACCACAGCCTTCCTGATGACCAACCATTAGCTGCTAACAGGTTCTCTAGGTCTCGAACAACAACTCCTGACAATAGGCAGAACTTCCCTGCAGCAACTGCTGCCACTGTCAGCCAGTTACCTGATGAACTTGGATTGGTAGACTCCATTACCACCAGTGTGGGGACTTCAACTCAGAGCATTGGTGCTAAGAGCACATCTGCAAGCACCATTCCAGAGGCTGACAAGACAGATGTTATGCAGAATGACAGGGCTAGCAGTGGTAGTGGCCAGAACTCAAGGTCTGCTTTGAAGACAAAGCCTTCGCACCAGAAGAATACATCTGCGCAGCATTACAATTACTCTGGGTATAATTACCAGCGAGGAGGTGGAGGATCTCAGAAGAATAGTTCCGGGGCTGAATGGTCTCATCGTAGAATGGCATTCCAAGGAAGGAATCAAACTTTGGGTACAGAAAAGAACTACCCCTCGTCAAAAACAAAGCAGATTTACGTAGCTAAACAGACTGCAACCGGGAGATCAATGTCATGAGGAGCATTGAAGCTAATTTTCCTGGATTTTTACAAGCTGAAAGCTTCGGGATAGAAGCATGTCTCGAGAATAAAAATTTTGGTTTTTTTTTGGCAGAATCTATGGTAGGGAATGACTGGGTTTTGGATTTTACCAGTGTCCATAAGATGGGTTGACTATAGCCTTGCCTTGTCTTTTGGATTTTAGGAGGAAGTGGGAGGTCTAGTGTGTCAGGTGGCCTGGTGCTATTTTTTTCCAAGTATTGTGTGTATTAGTTGGGTTGGGTCCACCACTGTTGTCATTAACCTTGTTGTCCGGATGCACGCACAGACCCAATTGTAATTTCTGGGCATTGATGTACCAAAACGTTTATGATCCGCCGGATTTCCTGCTTCGAAAATCTCGTTCTAGAATTTTGAGAATTCGTTTGGAAATTTATTTTGCTTAGAGCTTTAGGGAGTTGGCTTTATTTTGGTGCTGCAATGGCTTTTTTTGTTTTTTTCAATTTTTGATAAAAAGAGAAAATTCTAACAAAGTGCTTGAACCTTATAATTTTTCCGAGCGTTGCTACTTCACTTATTTTACCAATCAAGTGCATCAGTTTTTCCTGGATTTTACAAGCTGAAAGCTTCGGGATAGAAGCATGTCTCGAGAATAAAAATTTTGGTTTTTTTTTTGGCAGAATCTATGGTAGGGAATGACTGGGTTTTGGATTTTACCAGTGTCCATAAGATGGGTTGACTATAGCCTTGCCTTGTCTTTTGGATTTTAGGAGGAAGTGGGAGGTCTAGTGTGTCAGGTGGCCTGGTGCTATTTTTTTCCAAGTATTGTGTGTATTAGTTGGGTTGGGTCCACCACTGTTGTCATTAACCTTGTTGTCCGGATGCACGCACAGACCCAATTGTAATTTCTGGGCATTGATGTACCAAAACGTTTATGAATACAAAAATATTATTTTAATATATTTTTGAGATTAATAATTTAAAAAAATAAAAAATATTATTTTAATATATTTTTAAGCAACCTCACACCAAACTTTTCCACTTTTATATATTTTTATTTTAATATATTACCTCACAGGAAAATTTTCCACTTATATATATATATATAAAATTTTGCTGAACGCTCACTATATGAGTGATACGGATAGCGGCACGGTTGCTGCAACACAACATCAATGCCCTGAGACAGCTTCCTTGTGTGTAACAATGCTATATTAAATCTTGAAAGCTAGAGAATCATGTGTAGAGCATATGGATGCTAATTTTATTTTTTATTTTTTACAAAATCAAAAGGGGAACATATAAGAGAAAATGTATAATACACAAAGAAACATGGATAGATGGATAGGTTTTCTTCATTACCGCATGTCACTCCTTTCCCTTATTAGAAGACTGCAACCAGCTGCTTTTCTCAATCGTCTCCGGTCTATGTTTGACCTCAATTTATTGGCGTCTGCCCATCGACCAGCTGCTGCATAGATATTGGAAAGAATCACATAAGGAACAGGATTATCTGGGTCCATTTCAAACAGCAGCCCACTAATTTCCTCCCCAATTTCGACGTTGCCATGTACGCTACAGGCACCCAACAGCGACTCAAGCAGGGTAACTGAAGGTTTACCAGGTAGCTTCTTAACGACATTATACGCCTCCTTCAAGTGACCTTTTCTCCCTAACAGGTCCACCAGGCATGCATAGTGCTCTATTCTTGCTGATATACCCTTTTCGACCATAGAGTTGAGGACCATCCAAGCTTGCTCGACTAAACCAGCATGGCTGCAAGCTGATAAAATAGTTGAAAATACAATGACATTAGGGATCACTCCTGATAACTGCATCTGGGAGAGAATTTCAAGGGCAGCTTTCCCGTCCCCATGTAGACAGTATCCATTGATCATCACACTCCAAGAGACAGCATCCTTTTCAATCAAGACCTCAAACAGCTTTTTAGCAGTAACAATGTCTCCACATCTTGCATACATATCTATAAGGGCATTGCTAACGGCAGAATCTTCCTCAAATCCCTTGCATATCACATAGGCCATCACAGAATGAGCAAGACTCAAGAAATTTAGTTGAGCGCATGCTGAAACTAAACTCAGAACTGTTATGTTATCAGGTTGTAAACCCATTCGAAGCAAATCATAGAAGAAGCAAACTGCTTTTTCAGGATATTTTGTTTGGATATGCACAGAAATAATAGCATTCCACACTGGTATGTCTTTTGTTCCTATTTCAAATAGCGAGAGACATGAATTCATATTTTCAAATCTAGCATACATGTAAATCAGAGAAGTAACAAGAGGCGTTTCTGTTAAAAGTCCTGTTCTAATTGCAAACGCATGGACAGACTTACCCTGCAAATGGCTGTAGCACAAAGGCAATACATTTAGCAGAGTTACAGAATTTGGCCTCTGATACTTCGTCATTTGACTGAAAAGGACCAAAGCCTCGTTCTGTAGGTTGAGATGCCGCAAGCCAGTAATGAAGGCATTCCAAGACACTACACACCTTTCTGACATAACTTCAAAAAGAAATCTCCCCGAATCAAGATCGCCACACTTACAATATGTGCTGATAAGTGCATTGACCAAAGATACATCAGAAGCAAACCCCTTTTTTATCGCATAACCATGAAGGGTCATCCCATGACCTAAATAGTCCCTGTCACAGTAAACAGGGAGAACGCTTATTAGGGTGACCAAATCCAATGCCACACCCTCTTTCTGCATACTGTGACCAAGGTCAACTGCCTTTTCCATTTCTCCACTATGCACACACCCAGATATCAAAGTATTCCACGATACAGTATTCCTAGTGTGCATTTTGTGAAAGAGCTTAAAAGAAGAGGTGAGTTGTCTACAATCAGAATAAAACGCCAAGAGAGCATTGGAAACATTGGGGCTTGAATCAATCCCCTTTCTAATGCTAAATGCATGGGCACACTTACCAAACAAAACAGCCTCCAGATTGGAACAAGCAGAAAGAACACTAACAATAGAGACTGCATCTGGACTAAATCCACCAAGCTGCATTTCACAAAATGCAGCGAGACTTGTATCCCATAGACAATTGCGCACATACCCAGACACCATCACATTCCATAACAAGAGGTTCCTATTGGAAATCCGATCAAAAAGATTTTCAGCTTTATGCATCTCTCCAAGCTTAGCATACATGGACACGAGGGCTGTCAAAACAGAAACTTGATTTTCTAAACCGTGTTTTATCACCCAAGCATGAAATGATTCACCATACAGTATACCACCAGCAACCTCACATGATGGAATGACCGACACAAAAGTAATTGAGTTAGGCAGCACATCAGCATGAAGCATTTGTCGAAACATCTCATATGCTTCAAAAGCCATATCCTTTTGTGTACAAGCAGAAATCATAGCATTCCAAACAGCAACATTCTTCCTTTTTACATCTTCAAACATATTTGTAGCACTAGATACACACACATCACGAGCATACATTGAAATTAAAGCAGGCGCCAAGAACTCATTCGCAAGAAATCCAGACTTCACAGCAAATCCATGGAGAGACTTACCTGTATCCAAACATCCCAATCTGGTACACACAGGAATTACACTAGCCAAAGTACTCAAATTAGGCTTCAAACCCACCGCGAAGATAAGCTTAAAAACCTCAAACACTGGTTGATCAATCCCATGAAAAGAATAACAAGAAATCAAAGCATTCAGAGAAACCAAGTCTGGTTGTGGACTTCTGTCAATCAGAGAGCGTGCAGTCCCTAGATGACCAATCTTTCCATAAAAGTCAACCAAAGCAGTCTCTATAACAACATTTCTCTCATACCCATTTCTCAACACAGCACAATGAATCTCTTTTCCAATCTCAAAGGCACCAAGAACTGAGCATGCCTTGATAACAAAAGGAAACGTAAAATCATCAGATAGGCAATTCGTAACCTGACAAGTTTTATACACAGACAAGACGTTTTCGTGTAACCCATTATTACTTAGACTCCTAATCATCAAGTTTTGCAACAACAAGCTTGGCTTCTTAATTGTCTTGAAAGTCGAGAGAGCTAAATCAACAGAACCCAAATTAAAACAAGACTCCAAAAATTGTCTCAGCAAAAGCTTGTGTTGTATTAGACCGTTAACTATGAGTAGAGCTTTCAAAGACTTCAAGTGGTTGGTGTTTTTGCAGATATTGGAGAAGCTACAGCTGGATCTTGAATGGAGTGAACTGTACATTATCGAAGCAGATTCTTGCTTGTTTTTAAGGGAGACCATCACTGAGGGGTATAGTGAGACAGAGGTGGTCACAGATTCATGGAGAGAGAGTTGGAAGCGAGGAAATTTCTTGCAGATTTTATTTTATAGCCTTGCATTGCTTGCCTATGCTTGGATCTTCGAGGCTGGGGCTCTGCGTTTCCCGCCACGAAAGCAAGAAATCTTTTGAAAGTAGATGCATGCAACAGTTGAGTGAAAAGTGCCTCTCCAGTGCGGCACGAAGCCGCTGATGCCGAGTCGGCTCCTATGCCGCTAGCTTCACCCAAGAGTGTTATACCCAAAAAAAATATAAATGAATTCTTTTAATTTGAGGAGCTAGGAAACCTCCACAATTGCACACGGCGCCATTGGAATTCAAATGATATCTTTTATTTTCAATATTCTAGCCTTTTATAGGTTTTTAATAAACTTGCAATAAATCATAATCAACTCTCTTAACTAGCTTTTATTAAGATTTAAATGACCCATTATTTCCAAGTAATAAATGACATAACTTAGACCCGTTTATTTACTGAAAAATACTTTTTCTGACCCGTTTATTTACTGAAAAATACTTTTTTTTGAAAAGTAAATTCTAAAAAAATAAATTATTTTTTGATATTTGATAGTATAATGAAAAATAAGTTAGAAAATATTTTCCAATATTTGGTTATATTATGAAAAATTAACTAATTTCCAGTATTTGGTTATGTTATGAAAAATTAATTGAAAATAACTTATTTATATTTTAATTTTCTCAAGTTTAGGTGTTTATTTGGCGGAAAGTAGTTTTTTAGAAATCACTTTTCAAACTTTCTTATACTTATTTGTCATTATAAAAGTTGGTCAAAGGAAAATATTTTTCAGGAAAATTTAGCTTAATTTTCAGGAAAGTATTTTTCTGAAACATTTAGGTGGAAAACACTTTACGAAAGTTGTGAAAAAATTAGAAATGTCATATTATTTGCTGATTATATCAAACTTGGTCTTCAAAACTTTTTATTGCTATATATATTTTATTTTAAATATTTGTATTTTAATTTCAAATGCTATATATATATTTTATTTTAAATATTTCTATTTTAATTTCAACCCTTAGAATTTAATTTTTATATTAAAATTTGGTCCTCATTTTTATAATTGTTATTTACTTTTTCCTTATCATTTTTTAATTGAAATTTTTTATTTATCAAATCTGGTCCTCATTCTTTTAATTATTACTTATTTATTTGAAATAATTTATGAAATAGTAATTATTATTATTTTAATTTCATTTTTTATTTTTTTATTTTTTTTATATTTAATCTCTATTATTTTGATTATTATTTATTTTATTTGAGATAATTTATGTAATTATATTTTTTTTCAATTTCATGAAATAAATTTGATCCTTATTTTTCTAATTTTTATTTACTTTTTTCTTATTATTTTTTAATTGAAAAGTTTTATTCATGAAATTTGGTTCTCATTCTTTTAATTTTTTTTATTTTTTAGATTTGATCTCTATTATTTTTATTATTATTTATTTTATTTGAGATAATTTATAAAATTA